TCAGTGACAACCAATCACCGTAATAAATATGTCAGTTGGACCCACCCACTTCCATGCTGGTGCTGTTTGATAAAGTGTGAGTGCTTAATTCTGATTACTTTTATTGCTAGGGCACTACTTATCAGGCACTTTGTTTTTTTTTTTTTTACTCATGAATTTCCTGAAAGGTCTTTTTATGTTTTCCGATGGATAATAGATTGGCTAAGTTATAAAATTATAGATAATGGATCCTTTTATCACCCACTTTAAATAAGTCTCAAATTTGCTTTGCTCTAGAGGTGATCTATTTTACGGTCTGAAAATAAGTGTTAGTTATTCCATTTCTTCTAATTGATAGACGAATAAGCATATGAATTGCAACTCTCTGGTGAGCTTTCCACTGTGTTGTTATGAACCCATTAAAGTGAAGAGGCCTCTAGATATTGGGCCCCTTCCTTTTGTTCTGGCAAGTCAGTCAGAACTAATACCACCAATGACTGGATTCCTTTAATCTTATTATACTTACCTACCTTGATAGTTTTTTGGTTTGTTTTTAGAATAAGACTCTTTTTTTTTTTTTTTAAGATTTTATTAATTTATTTGACAGAGATCACAAGTAGGCAGGGGCAGGGGCGGGGAAGCAGGCTCCCTGCTGAGCAGAGAGCCCGATGTGGGGTTCGATCCCAGGAGCCTGAGATCATGACCTGAGCCGAAGGCTTTAACCCACTGAGCCACCCAGGTGCCCTACCTTGATAGTTTTTAAAACGTGCTTTTCTTTTACTTTTAACTAATTGTTATGTGATTAATTATTAAATTTTGGAAAAGTAGAATTTTAGTGGGTTTCTTTTGACCCAGAACCTCAATTGTTTGACTTTTACCTACATAAACCAAATCGATAGATATGTGTACAGTGCTTTCCAAAGTATTCCTTCAGTTTTCTGTAAGTCTTTGTAGCCTGGCAGTTACTAATGAGCTTAAAATTAACGTTCATCGTGTCTCAATTTCTTTTTCTCAAGAAGAGGGAGACTTGCTTGCCTGGTTCTTCTTGGTATCCTCAGGGCCTAATGACACAATGACTGTGTAAAATAAAAACCGGGCAGTGAATGTTCGTCGAACCTGACTTTCCATTGTGCTTTCTTTGTAAATCCATACAAAAATTCCACCAATAGGTGAAGGCCAAAATTTGGTCATCATATTACAATAACTATTTTTCGGGTCTCTAGTCAGCTTTTTGATGAACAGATAACACAGAGATCACAAAATATACTTTTATATACCAACAGCTGAAATTAAATGACCTTATCATGAAGCCATTCAAAGTGGTACTTTCGTTGTGTAAAGCGAGGCATGTTGACAATACTGAAAATACATTTCAAAATGGTAAATGAAAAATGATTTATGTAAGGTAAAAAGTTAACATTTTTGCCTTATTAGAAGGTTTTTCCCCCCGATTCTGCTGTTTTTCATAAAAAGCCCTCAAAGCGTCACCTTGATTTTGACTGTTTTTGCTGAGAAATGAACTTTTTCAGCTGTGTTAGATTACCAGAAATGAGAATATCAAACAGTAACGGGAGCCCTTCGGTAGTGGAAGTGTAATGATCATATTAGCATCATAAATCATTTGCTTCCCAGTACTACAGTAGGTCATGAGAGCAACAGCTGCAGCTTTGTTCTACCTAGATGATGTTTCAGTAAAGCCATTTCTGTTTTTATTCACTCAAATTTACAGTTTCTCCTTTGTGTTGACATTAAGCAGTGAATCTATTAGTTTCCATTACCGACAGAATAACTAAAACTATAAATAGTTCTATATTTTCTCTCGCAAATCCTCTCAAGCTGCAGTCGGTGTCTTTAATTTGATAAAACATCTGGGTAATACATCTTGTTTCTTCTCTTTCAGCAAATGCATACTTTCTTAAGTCTTTCCTTAAAAAAACAAAAACAAAAAAACCCCCAAAAAACTCAACAGCAGTTCTATCCCTTTGACCTCAGATTCCTCATAGTTAAATTGGGCATCTAATTGTGAAGTAATCCAGATAAGATGCAAAAGTCAGATCACTCGATCTGATTCACAAAACTCATTTTTAAAAGAAATATCTGAGTATTATGTTCCAGTGAGTTGCTGGTTCTGCCAAAAAACAAAAACAAAAACAAAACAAAACCCACAACACAATGTATCATAAATACCACATACCTGACTTTTTAATATTTAAATATAAAAACGTTAGGTCTTTCCTTCCTAATGTAAACCAAGTTGCAGATCACCGATTTCAAACACAGTGTCATGTGTATAAACACATTTTAGCAAGTTGTAGAAGCACCCTTCAAGATTGTGATTATCTTGGACAACCGTGGTTCTGATGTTGGAATAAACCAGTTTCTTACATTACAATTCCCTAAGTGTAGAAGGCTGCACGGTAATCGCCACATTCCTCTGGGGTTCTCAGAGGCAAGCCCCGTAATTTTGGCTTTGGCTGCAGTTCTGTAAGCTTTGGCCCACCATGTCTATTTCTGGTTTCTGCTTCGGTTCACATTTAGGGGTCTTGTGAGAAGCTCAGTTTTTCTCTTGTGAGAATCACGTGTTTGTATTGTCATGGCTACTGGCACGACCTTTCGGTTCATAGGTGTACAGTGATCTGAATTTAGTGGACAGGATTCTGAGTAGATCTTTAATCTAGATATTGGAATGTTTCTTAGTGATGTGCCAAAACTAAGAGTTTGGTAGCTGAATTGTTGGCTGACATTTTGGTTTTGTTGAATAGCCACTTTTAATCCATCTCCCCAATAAGCTTTCTTTTGGACCATTGAAGGGAATTTTTTTCTGGATTGATGGGGACTCAGCCTTTTCCATCCCAAAAGCCTATAATGGATTTTTTTTTAAATTAGAATGCTTTTTTAAAAGGCATGACAAAGCCAAGATAACATCACACTTCATAAAATTAAAAGTAATTTCTGTAAATTAAATTAAAAGTAATTTAATGCTTATTCCATGCTCAACCTTTCTATTTTTGATAAATATGTCCTTTAAAAAAAAGCTGGTTGGTCCAAGTTGGGATGCAGATACCATATACTGCTAATGGTGGTTGTGATATTGTGATTTTATAATAAGAAATATGTTCGATCTTCCTCAGTTCCAGGCAAGAGCTCCTGCAACTCTGGTAACTTCCTAAATGAGGAGATAAGAAAGGTGCATTTTGTTATGTTGATGAGGGGACTTCTGGAAAGCCCCTGGGTAACCCCAGGGTGAGGGCTGGTTGCAGCGGAAACCCACAGGGAGATTAGAGGGCTGAAGCTTTCAGTCCTGCCCTCTGACTTCGAAGGAGGTGGGAAGGAAGATTGAATCAGTTGCCAGCGGCCTGTGATCAATCAATCCTGTCTAAGTAAGGAAGCTAATGTAGAAACCCAGAGGGTGGGGTTGGAGAGCTTCAGGTTGGTGAGCTTGTGCAGGTGTGTGGAGAGAGGGGAGAGACTAGCAGGTGTGGGGAGAGAGATGCCTTCATGAAGAGAGGGCATCCAAGCCCTGTGCCTCTTCGCACATACCTTGCCTTTGACCCTCTTCTTCTGGCTATTCATCTGTATCCTTTATAATCCCCTTTATAATAAACTGGTAACTGTAAGTAAACGTTCCTCTGAGTTCTGTGAGCCACTCTAGCAAATTAATTGACCAAGGAGAGGGTGGTGGGAACCTTTGATTTATAGCCAGTCAGTCAGAAGCTTGAGTGACAGCCTAGACTTGCTGGGGCCTGTCTTGTGGAACCAAGCCCTTAACCCATGGTCTGATGCTATCTTCAGGTGGAGAGTGTCAGAATTTAGGTAATTGTTTGGTGGTGTGGGGAAGAAAACACATATCGGAGATACGTTCCTTAGGGTCTTTCAATCTCTGCCTTTTTCATATCATTGATTTATTGAAGAGGCTAGACCTGTTGATAAGTTAGAATATTTATTTAAATTTATTTAAATGTGCATGTAAACACATTTAAATATTTAAGTTCATTTAATTAAGAACATTTTCCCCACACACAGTCCAAATTACATTGTTACCTTTATCAATATTAATAACTCCTTAATATAATCCAATGCTTAATCAATATTCAGATTTCCCCAGTTTGTTTTTAAGTCTTCTACATCTGGTTTGTTCAAGCCCAGATCCTGTCTGGAAGCACAGACTGCAAATGGTTGTTTTGTCTTGTTTTCTCTCTTATCTTTTGATCTGGACCAGTTCCTTTTATTCATATCAGGAACTTATGGGCACGGTGAGACTGGTGCTTGCAGAACAACCCAGCTTCTGGATTTGGTTCCTTTTCCCCTCCTACACTGCTGTGAAACACAGTAACCCCTAGTCACATGTGGCTATTAAGCTGTTGAAATGTAGCTAGTCCAAATTGAAATGTGTTGTGACTATAACATACACATTGGCTTTCTAAGGCTTAGGATAAAAAAAAAAAAAATAAACTATTTCACTAATAATTTTTTATGTTGAATACATGTTCAGATGATCTGGGTATATCAAGTTAAATATATTACTAAATTAATTTTACCTGTTTGTTTTTCATTTTCAAAATGTACCTACTAGAAAGTTTTATTTGGCACCCAGTATATTTCTCCCAGATGGTGCTCGTCAACAGATTTTAAAACAGAAAACTGCTACCCCAAATGACTCCACATCAGTTCTCTGAGATATAGTTGAAGAGAGAACATTAATAGGCTAAAATGTTCCTTAGCTAGAGTTTTACAACATTCAGTTGCTGTGTCCTTCCAAGTGGAAACTAAGTGATTTTCCGTAGTTGATCTAGTCTCGAGCATTTTAAGACGGAGTATCCTACAAGCATGGCATTGTCCAGTAGATGGAATAGCTCCTAAAGATCTTGAGTGGCCCTGCTACCTGGGGGGGGTTAAGTCCCATAACCTGGGAGGTGTGCCACAGGTGCTGATACAGTTGTTACACCGGTGCTGCTGATTCACAAGCAGAAAAGTATTATGAGCCAGTGAAAGTCATGCTTTCTTTCTTTGTTTATTTCTAGGGTTGGACAACATTGAGCAGACAGCTGTCTCCAGTTTTGGAGCGCTGGAAAGTCAGCCTGATTTCCGAACCCCAGAGTTTGTAAGTACTACTACTGCCTCTTCCATTCTCACCAAATGCAGAAGGTTTTTCATGAAATCTTGCCCTCAGTGCCTCTGGATGTGGCACAGGTCTCAGTGGCAGAGCTGTGTATTTAAAGCTCTGGTTCTGTGGGGAACGGGTTCCTGAACTACAGTGTCTTGGTGTCCTGCTCCGTAGGCTTATTCTTCATACTGTTTTGTACTTTCTGCAGTGAAGTAGCATCGTTCCTTCCAAAACTCCTCCTCCATTCACGGGTAGCTTTGCTGTTAGTTTCTGCTGTTAGTGACTCTGGAAACCAGTCTCCCTTGAGCACATACAGGTACATTGCCCAGTCTGATTCCCATTTCACTATGCAGCCGTCAGTCATATGACCTTTATAGATGTATCTCGTAGGGCTGGGACTGTTTTGTTGGTTGTTCCTACCAACGGGGGAACTAACTGCTTTCACTAAATTAGGCTCATTAAAGATTAGCCATGGTTCTCACCCTCAAGGAATTAAAAATCTTATTAGATGCTACTGTGATTTTATTAATGCCTTGTTTAAAGAAAATTAAGCACATAGGATGCCACGTGCAGAATGTCCTTAGCAAATAGATTTTATATTAGGCTCGTTTGAAGAGAGGGATGGGAAGAAGTGTTTCTCTGACTCACGTACCGTATTACTGCACCAGATGTGTAGGAAAAGCACACCAGGATCCACCTAGATTTACTTATTTTTGCCCCTTGCTGCAAATGGCTTGTCTACCACTTCAGCAAGGCAAAAGGCTTTTTTGGCTTATTTTCAAAGTGAGACATACAGTTGCCACACCAGTAATTGGCAGAGCACAATTGTATTATTGATAAAGACAAAAAAAAAAAAAAAAAAGAGCGAGTGAGAGAGAACTCATTATGTGCTTTTCTTCTTCTCACTCATTCTTTATGGATTACTTACTAAATTCAGCAAAGAGTAAGGAAACCAGGCAGTGCTCTGGACTGAAAAGGGATTGCACATGAAACTGTATCTGCAATGCCATTTTATTTCACAGTGTGGGACTCCTGTGGCGTACTAGCAGATCGCATACTGTGAAAATCACTTGGATATAATAGAAAGACCACGTCTTCAATGACTTCCCTGTTACATTCAATGAGATTTTCAGTGAAGGAAAATTGCGAATGCCCACCAATGTATCCTGTATCTTAGTTAAAGTAGCAGGGCAGTTTTGTGGGTTTTTTTCCTAACTTCTACAGTGAGAACCCCAAAGCAGAATTGATGCAGATATTTCCCATTTGAATATGAAATTGATACAGACTCCCGGAGCTGGCCCTTTTTTGTTTTATTTTCTAACTGCTGCACGTTGATACTCTTCAAGCACTATTTCTAATCTACAAAGAGCTGTGTGCAGTAGAGTGCTGATGTGCTTGGCAAGCACCTATAGGGTTTGCACTGGTTCCCTGTGTGAAAATAAAAGTATTTTTCTCAAAAACAGGTTTTAGTGTCTTATAGGAGGTTTGAGATTGGCCTGCCTCAGCGAGGTCTTTGCAACAGATAGTCCACACTGGTAATCACACTAGTAATGTTCTTCTACCTTCAGTGTTAGCTTCTTGACTACCTCGTTTTCCTTTGCAAGGGGTGAAGGCTGGTGAGTCTAAGAATAACGAGGGGTAGAACTTGAGGATCACAGGATACACTGATGTTTTAAGAGATTTCTCTTAACGATGGGTCTGAGAACACCAAGCTGAAAGGAGATTTTTAGGCTAACTCCCCATATTTTTCTTTCTCACTGTCATGCCTCAGTGATCTCTAGAGCCCTTTCTTGAGACCACAGGAGACTTGGTGAAGCATGGTTTCCTTAAATGTGCGGTTGAGACAAGATTTCTGTATCCGGTTATTATCTTTATCTAGTTGCGAGTTCATACCGTGTTTAAGGAAGGAGTCTCTGATTTTCTTGTGCTTTTTAGACATCTGCACCTCTGATGCTCGTTGCACGCCCCCGTCGGCAGGGTCTGTGTCCACAGCTGCTTGCGTTTCCTCCCCACATCACTGTGGCCCCTGCCTCAGTTCCTCCCTACACAGATCTTTCCCAAACTGCTGCCTCCCTGGTAAACAAACAGGAGGCGCGTGAGGCGCCTTGAGAACAGAGTCCCCGAGGGAATCAGGCACGACATGCAAGGGAAGCCTTTTTTTGGAGGCAGAAAGCGACAGCATCCGTGAAAACGGGCGGCTCTCGTGTGTAGGCAGGTGGATTGGGCAGATGCCAGGACAAAACCAGGTATGTGGGTCCAAACCAAACATTCAGATCCAAACCAGGGGCACCAGCACAAACCCAGGAGCAGAGGGAGCGTGGCACAAAGCGAAACTGCAAACAGAAAGAAGAGGGAGAAGAAGAAAAGGAGCCGAGGTATCAGCGTTCTGTTTTTCTCCATCTGGCATCTGGAAGCAGCAGCTGCCGTGTGCTGAGGTGAACGGAAACACAGCAAGGCGTAGACGGTGTTTACTCAGGCTTTATCCTCAGCTAGTTCGGATTTTAGAAGGATCAAGAGCCTCGTGTTTTCAGCGGAGTGTATTTATACAGTTTGGCCAACGGGGAGAACAAAACGCTTATCATTATTGGTTTGTTTCCTTCAGGACTTCTGTTTTTCTTTCGTTTGACACCAGGCCCGCGCGAGCGATGCTGGTTGAGTACCTTGGTTCCCAGCACGATACGCACGGGAAAGTTGTCCTTTGCAGCTCAGGTGTCTGTGGCGATGCGTCAGGCCCAGCCGGGCCTGCTGTCAGGACTGCATAAATCACGGATAGATAAACGCGGCCGCAAAGCCCCCACATGGCCGGTTCTCAGTGGGGGCCCCGTGGCTGGGCCTGACTCTCTGAACTGCCCGGGGGCAAGCTGAGACGGACGTCGGGTGCCCGTGTTCTTGCTTGTGAGGAGCTGGGGACATGTTCCAGCTGGACACAGCCCCACCTGAGGGGACGTGTGGACGTGTGGATGTGTGGATGGGGCTCCCAGTGAATGGGGCCTGGTGAAATGCTGGCTCCACAGAGAGTAACCGGGTGACCTCGTAGTGGTAGGAAACCAGCTCGATCCTGGTTCTTTGTTTAAGCGCAGTGAAAATCTGCTTGTGATCTGCTTAATTAACTTAATATTTTATCCTGAATGGTGTCCCACACTGTTGTTTTTCCAGGTGTATTGAGACATGATGGACACACAGCATGGTGAAGGTTTACGGTGTACGGCTCTATGCTATTTTTTTTCCTTTCTGACATGATTGTTATCTCTAACTTCTGTTCCCTTGTGCTGATGAACTATAATTAATCCTATCGTAGTTTTCAAAGCAGTTAGTTCAAGGGGGATCTAGTGAAGGAAACGGTGACATAGCCAGATGCTCTGGAACCCTGTGATGGGTGGCCATCATTTAGGGACACGGGCTGTGAAGACAGGCTAGGTTCATGAGGACAAGGATTGGACTGTGGAGAAGGGATTTGGCCAAAGGGAGTCTGGGGACTGGATATCAGTTACCCAGATAACCTTGCTGAGTTCAGACTAGCAGAGGCTGCAGAACGAGGCAGTTCAGTTAGAACCGAGGCTGGGGAGCCACCAACACAGTAGTGGAGCAGGTACAGGCTTTCCTGCAGTGTGGTAGCATGCCGAAGTCGGGCAACCCAGGCTTCCCCTGGTGCGCTCACTCTCAGGTCTGCTTAAGAGCAAAGGTGACCTGAGGCCAGGGGCTCATCAGTCATGGCCGGCCCAGAGGAGCCCAGGTTGATTACAAGCCCCAAGGAGTGCAGGAAGAGTAGGGGAACGGTTGAGTGATGGTCAGGGCTCTTTCTAGAGACCCTGACTCTCTTGGTACTGACCCAGGAACTTGGGTGCACAGGAGGAATGGGGTGTGGGGAAGAACTCCAGGGAAGCAGTGGGGAATCTGCTTGTAGCTAGCTGGATGGAAACCAGGCTGATGTCAACACAAAAGCACATGGAAGGAAAGGAAAGGCTAAAGAATTATATTTTATGATCTGAGTCTTGCTAATAAGAGCCCCCTTTCCATCCTTTCCAGAACTCGGGCTTTATGTCTAAATCTCCTGGCTTTTAGAGGCAGGAAGACTCTAACCACCTCTTGTTTCTTGCCAGTTGATGCTGTTTTCCTTAGTTTGGCTTCAGCCAAATTTGCAGTAAATGATAAGAGCTTAGGCTCGCCTAAGAGTATTAGGGTCATAATAGGATAAACCAGGGAAGATGATGAGAAACTATAGGATTTAGAAAGATTAAGTCAAGACAGAGACTTAGGAAGAGGAGGATCAGAGTGGAGGGAGAGGGGGTCCCCTTTGTTCCACACTTGTGTCTATGCAGAAAGGAGGTCTGAGGAGTCGTTATCCTGTTTGGGATTTTGTGTAACTGGGTTCCCTTTCTGGGGGGAGATACTACTTTGCAGAAAATATTGTTGATTTCCTGAAATTGACGTTAGATTGTCTTTAACTAGATGGAAATATATACGATCCCCGAGAGTTAAAATACTACTCTGCTCTTTGAGGCACTAGAGTGAACAGTAGAAAAAACATCCCTGTACTTCTGGAGCTTACGTTTTGGTGGGGGAGACATAAAGGACAAAATAAATAAGATCTTAGGACATGCTAAGTCCTTTAGAGAAGGGTAAAGGAAGAATTATATGTATGTGTTCGGGGCGGGGGCTGGCTGTGGTTTTAAATGGAATGGTCAGGGCATATCTCAGAAAGGTGTGTGCAGAAGGGGACAGGTGAAAATACCTGAAAGCAGGGGTGCTACAAAAAACTATTTGGAAATCTAGATGAAGGGTGTTCCAGGCAGAAGGAATAGCATAGACAAACGTCTGGAGGTAGGAGTTTGAGATACGTTTGAGGAATAGGAAGGAGGCCATTGTGATGAGCAGAATGAAATGTGGTGAAGATAACGGATAGTGGGGCTTCATAGGCCCTTGTGAACACTTTGGTTTTATTCTGAATGAGTTGGGAAATCAATTAAGGGTGAGCCTTTGGGGGATAAACTGGGGGC